CCCCTCGAGATGTGTAATGAGCGCCCTCCAAACTCGAACAGAGAACAGGCAAGACAACGAAAACGAAAACAAAGATTGCGCCTGCCGCTTTCCGCCGCGGCGTCCTTGGAGCCCAAGCAAGGTTATGGGTGAAGAAACCGGGCCGACAAGTCAGGCGCTCACGAATTTATTTAGTTTCTCCTTGCCGCAGACTTCATCCACAGGCTTTAAAAGCAAGAAATGACGTGCGCCGCCCCTCTACATACAGGCCGCCGACGAGGCTGAGTGTGAAGAGAGCGGGACATCAAAACTTTTTTTTTAAAGTAACAAGTAACAAGTAACAGAAAAAACCTTCACCCACAACCGCAGCTGACGCGGGCACCAGCAGAAGTGGTCCCCGCCTCTGCCACGACGGTCACGTGCCGACTGGCGGGCGTAGTTGCACTAATCGGCTTTTTCGACGCTTTACTTATTTGTATTCGTTTTCATTACGGTGTTTATCCTATTAGTCTCCGGTTATTTTCCATTCCGCACCCCCGGCGCGCCCCTTGAATGCGTTTTAAATGAATACGTCTTCTACTACCCCCTGCTGCCTTTATTAGCCTCTACGTGGCGGTTATTCTCCGTCACTGCGGTGCGTCTCCACCCGCAGCGCGGCAGTGAGGGAGGCAACAGCGGCGGCGCGGGAAAAAAAAGCCCCGGACGCAGAAGCCCCCTCGCACACACATACACACACACACGCGCCGGCGCCATTAGGCGGGGACAAAAAAAAAACAGCGAAATCAGGGAAAATATAGAGAGCGGGGGAAAATGTGAGTGAGGGGTTTAAAAAAGGGCCGTCTGGTAACGTCGCTACGGCTGCGAGAGTTGTTCTCCTTCAGCCAGCTCGGTCGGCCGCGCTTCGAGCTCATCCTTCTCAGATTGCTGCTGGGCAGCCGCAGCCGCCTGTTCGGCCAGCTTCGCCTGGGTGAAGCGCGAAAATCGCAGGTGCACCACCACGGCGGCGAGCGTGGCGACAAGATTGACGGCCATCAGGACAAACATCTGCTTCCGCACACACGAAGGGGCGTTGCATGATGGGAACTCGCCACGCTTGCGCCCCTCCGCATCGTACATCCCTCCAAACAGAAAGCGGTTGAGCGCAATCGACGCAACAGCAGCGGAGGTGCGCAATAAGCTGTAGTGCTTGCCAATGTCACGGGCGTACATCATCCGGGTAACAATGACGCCCACGCCCCAGCCAATGCCGTTGCCGAAGGATCCAAGCAAAAACGGCAGCAGCAACGCGCCCGCAGGCACCACCCCAAAGAGGAGGTACGCCAGCGCAAACAGCAGGGGAGCCACGGGAAGCGCAATAGTCGTCAAAATGTTTGTCTTGCCTGAACGATTCCACTCGGTCAGCTTCGTGTCGAAGTATCCCACAGAGATGCGCCCAACAGCGGTGCCCACAGAAATGATGGCGATGTAAAGCGTCAGAGTTCGGCTGTTGTACTCGCCGTAGTTCGTGCTGCGACTGATCTGGGCGGCGTTCATCTGCATCACGGGGCCGGTTCCCCACATGCCAAAGCACGCGAACCACATTGCCCACAGGTGGAAGGAGAGCAGGTGGGCCCAGAAGGAGCCCTGGTACTGCGGCCACACCTTCGCTGGCGGCTTGCTTTGAGCAGGGGCGTCGCTCCCCTCCGCATCATCCGCACGCGCGGCTTCGTTTGGCTGCTGCGGCATCGGCTCCGCGTCCGCCTCGCCAATGCCCGGCATATGCGTTGCACGCACGGGGGTGTAGCGGCCCAGGAACTGGAACGGCATCGCCATCGCAGAGAACGACGCCATCAGCAGCAGCGCCACAATCGAGATCGCCAAGTACCCCGCGTGGGACGTCTTCACGTACGCCGTCGCAATCGACTGCGTGGCGGAAAAGATCAGCATAGCGACGACAAGCACAAACCCGATCTTCAGGCGCCGCGATGGGGCACGCTGGCTCATGTAGAGTTCAAGCGTCTTCTCCCGCTCCGCGGCCTCCTCGGCGCTCAGACGGCTCTTTCTCCACGCGGACGGAAAGTACACCGGCAGCCGCGTGCAGTAGGAGCCGAGACAGGCGCAGAAAATAATCTGCACCCCAACAAAGTACGCGTAGCCGGAGTAGTGGTTGTCCTCCGAGCGATGCGAGTCAGCCGCCCTGAACCAGCCGTTGAAGTACGCCATCAGCACCGCGGTGCCAAGCCCGTTGAAGGTCTTCATGATCAGCACCACGTAGCCGCGGTCCAAGGGGAACTGCACCATCAGCGTCATCATGGAGCAAACGTCCATCACCGGAAGGCCAAGGTGGGTGATTCCCTGGTAAAGGGAAAACAGCGCCACGCTCGAGGTTTTTATCTTGTCGTCAAAGGTCAGTCCAAACAGAATAAAACCCAGGCCTCCAAGGAGACCGGCGAACGGAAGCACAGCCGTGGGGCCCACGGAGTCAAAGAACATTCCAGCATGAAAGCTGAGGAAGTTAACAACGTTGCCGACGGTGCTGATTGTCGTGATGTCGCTTTGCGAATACCCGTACTTCGTCTTCAGATGATCCGTGAAGAGGCTGAACCCGTACGTGGAAGAAAAACCGAGCCCAACGTACACGCCGGCCATCAGCATCCGCATGCGGAACAAATCATCCACCTGCCGCACCATGTTTCTCCTTTTTCTTCGCCTTCGCTTTTGCGTTCTACGGCGGGCAAGAGAGGGGGGAGGGGGCGCGAATTCAGAAGAGCAAAGCGGGGGAGCCACGCGCATGCACCGGGGCCACGCATCGCGTGCCGTCGTGCTGGCAAAGTCAATTATTACGTTTTCTCATGCGGGTGAGCGCACGCAGCTGTCCCCGGGGGTGAGGGGGAGACACGCCCATTTCTTTCCACGCCCACGTCGTCGTTCAAAGGCGAAGATGTTAGATGCCCCCCCTTCCCCCCTCCCCCGGGCCTGGGCGCCGCCGGCTTGCAGGTTGGCGCACCAGCTTCAGGAGGCAAGAGGGGGGCACAGGCACAAAAATGAGCACCGCAATGGGCGGAATTCCCTCACGCGGGCGGGGCAACAAACGCGAGGAGTATCCGCCTGGCGTCGGCCCCCCGCAGCGGGAAAGAGCAAAACAGGGCGACCGCAGTTCGGCCCGGCGGATGCACCTTCGCACCCCGGAAGGGGCCCACCAAACACCCACACGCCAGCAAGGCGGCTGGCCCGCAGACCAACCCACGACAACTGGGCTCCCACCGTGAGCGCAGAAAGTGGCCGTCGTTAGGGCCACGCGACGCACCATCCGCGCGGAGATGCCCTGTGACCGCACGTGTGCTCAAGGCGTGCCGATTTCGTGGACTTCAAAAATAACACACAAAATACTGCTTCCAGTTGCCGCGCCAAGGCGCACTGCCCTCCCTGCAAAGGCGTCACCCCGCGACGAGGCAGTGTCCTTGCAGGCACCAATGCGTTGGGGCAAACCCTCTGCGAATGCCAGCAAGGCAGGCAAAACGGCCCGTGCTTCCGCCTGCATGAGAGAAGGGTTGGGGGGCACCGCAGCGGTTCCCTGGCCCACCTCGACGCCTGCAGCAGCCGGAAGCGGCAGCGCGCAACAGTCGTGTAAAGCCACATCCGCGACGAGGCAAGTCGCCGGGTGCCCAGGATTTTTTAATGGCGCTCCGCTCACTTCCAGAGGAATCCTGCGAGCGCCGCGAAGCCACAACTGACGGGTGCCAGGAAAAAAAAGGAAATCAGGATCGCCCGAGGAGACCCACCCAACAGAAAAGCGGACATGCGCCGGCGCACCGGCACGAAAAAGAAAATGAAACTGCGTCCTCAAGCGAATTTCCAAAAATGCCGCGGCGCATAGTCAGTTGGCGGCGGCAACCTCCATCGCAAGCACCGTCCAGGGGCGCCGAGGAGGCGAACGGAGCAGAGAACGGACAGAGACAACAGCACTCAATACGCCGCTGAGTGCAAAAAAAAAAAGAAATAAAAAAACAGCTCGCAATCCGATAAAAGAGCAGGCGACCGCCCCCCGGGCTGGAGCAGCCGACGGTCGCGTGGCAAGCCCGGGCACATGCGACTAACACCGCCTCCCGCACGCCAGCACCGCCGCGCAAGCGCCCGTGACACGCAGGTCCCCCCCCCCCAATCGCCCGCTCCGCGCCAATGCGAGGGCGAGGCAAGGCGCCTCAGAGTGCGGCCAGTGCGGGGCGCGCAACGCCAGCTGCCCTCCCGCGGGCCGCAGGTTCGGCCCACCGCCTCCCGCACGTCGCGTCTGGCAGGACCAGGCCAGTGCCGGCAAGCGAGGCCGCGGCCCCACGTACGGTAGGGCCAGGCCATCGACCGCCACCGACTCCAAAGCCGGTCGGAGGGAACCCGCTTCGCATACGTGCCGCTACAAAAGGCGCGAGCCAAGGCGCCCCTTCCGCCCCTG